AGTTGAGTGACCGTTAGTGCAATTTTGTAACTTCAATGACCATTTTGTTATTTTGCTGTAATTTCAGTGACCATTTGTGAAATTAACCCAGCAAAATTACCTTACAAACTAAGCCCTGCTCGAATCATCCCATTCATTACCAGCTCCAGCCGAGTCATCAAATCTGCTCGAATCACCACGAGCACTTCCAACTCCACTTAAGTTGTCAAATTTGCTCGAAACACCATGAGAAACATGATCAACAAGATTATAACTAGCTCCACCTGAACTATTGGGAAGTTCTTCAATATCAATGCTCGAATCACCACAAGCAGCCCGATCATAATCAACTCTACTCGAGTACCGCTTATCGAACCATAAGCTGAACTTCACCCTAAGAAATGATTGAACCTTCCAAGATATATAACCGATCCTTGCATTGTTTCTCCTCCAGCATCCAAACAAAAAATCTTCCATAATAAAAAAATCTCGTTGCAATCCAAAGCGAAATCTCAAATTTCATAGTTATCATTCGTGAAACACTGAACCTTGTTCAAACTTCGCTTTAGTAACCAGTTTGAACCTCCCAAGAAAACCACCAAAAAATGTTGGCTCTCATACCACTTGTTATGAACCAACCAAGATACTAGAATCACTTTGATAACTCTTGTTGAGAATCTGGTCAAATAATTAAAGACGGGAATAATATGAGTAATATGAAAAATAATGGATGCCGAAGATAATATGATTTACACGAAAACCTAAATCCGAAAAATCACAGGCAGATGCGAAGAATTTACTATAATCAATGGTAAAGAGTTACAAATGATCTCAGGACCAATAACCAATTAGACAATTGATCAATTATAAAATGTGTTGTACACCACATATTTATAACCAAAGAATCTCTAACATACCAAAAGAATTAATACACGAGAGTTTAATATAGGTTAAAGTTCCAATACAATGGATAAAATCAATAATAGAAAAATTGGGATGAAACAGGAGTCAAATTTACCTTGGACTTCTTCAAGTCTAATATCAACTTCCAATACTCCTCCAATAGTATTTCCAATCAAATACTCAACAAAAATTCAGGTCACAACCCAATTCTAACAAATATTGTGGCTGTAACGAGCCTCATGAGTTTCATATGTTACAGACGAAACCTATCTATTTCTTCCAACACCTTGTGGACGTCGAAATTAGAGATTTTCATGGGCATGAAAGTGCGACTGAGCTGGTGGACTATATTTTGCTATATGGAGAAGCATTGAAGAGATTATCTATTAGTCCTATAAGTGAAAGTTCTGTTTGCAAGAAGTTACTGACCTTGGCAAGGACTTCAGTATATTGCAAGATAGAAATTCTTGGTAAAGATCTCTAAGACACTAATCATTAGAAACAATTTGCAAAATCTTATTAATTGAAAAGATACAGAAACAATTTTCTTTTTCCCTTTTGATGGTCAGAGATTTTTGGATAGGAAGACTATTATTGATTACAATAATAGCCAATTCATTTTTCTTCCACTGATTTAATAGTACTTTCCATTTAAGAAACTTCACAAAGATGTAAAAACTTCTGGTTTCACTCTACCATTGTCTTGTATCTTTTTCTAAGGCCTGGGGAAGTATTTGGCTATGGTGTGGCAAGGTTCATTTGTGTTTTACTCTTACCATTCGTATGGTATACTCTATTCACATGTTAGCAGGTCCTGAAACAAATAGATATTAGAAACAATTAGATACCTATGACTATGAATTAGGATTTGCATTGGAGATAGCCTCTAATCCAGAACCCATGGAGATCACCGTTCATGCTATAGGTAAATCTTTACATAGCATTCTCTTATGATTGCTGCATTCTGTTTCTTTCAAGTTATCTGTTAGCTGCTATTAGAGTTTAGAGTTCGGTAATGAGATAGGATTAAGAGAATCTTGTTGTTGGGTTATGATGCCAATTTTTACAGTCAAATCAGGGCAATGATGATTTGAACTTGGCTCATAACCAATTTTCTATTACTTGATAAATTCTATGATGAAGCTCAAACCCGAGTCCAATTTTAAGTAAATGTCGCTTTTTGGAAGTGCGACTTTAGTTGTAAATTGTTGCTTCCAATAAGTGAAAAATAGTCCGTTGCTCTGGGCCATAAAATCGTGATTGAGATCAATGGTTGACAATAAAAGTATATATAAACTCCTTTGGTTTGGGTTTTTTAGGGTTTATGTTATGAAACGGAAAGGTACAATATCCCAAGCCCTGATCTGTGATACTTTGATGCTAGTGGGTGGAAATATTGGGGTTTCTAGAGTTTTTTCTTTATTTTGTTATGTTCTGAAACATATATAGTTTTCGATTTGTGATAACACTTGTGTTTACACGTATGAATGGAAAGAAAATTTTCATTCCCCTACCTTCCATCTCTTCCCATTATAGCTTATAGACTTTGTTACGACTTATATATATAATCACCACGTGGCATCTTATTTGAATGGTGGGACCAGCCCTATTGAATCATGGTGTGTTTTCCTGACCTCTGACGTGCCAACCGAGGCCC